GTCTGACTGCCTGTTTAAACATAGACTGCCCTTTCATAATTCAGGACTGCTGGCTCCCAAGTGCTTGCTTGACTGCCTGATTGCCCCTATCAACTCCCCTGCCAGCCTGATTGATGCCTAACTGTTCCTCTGCTGGTCCGATCATCCACAACTGCCCTTCCCTGCATATTCCCTTTTTATTAGATAGGATTTTTTCTTTTAACATATTGGACAGTCTACCTGCCGTGGTCTTGACAAACCAGTAAAAATGTAAACCCAAACTAAAAGTGCCATAAAATAAACTCCTTAAACAGAAATTTCATGAGACTTTGGAAAGGTGATATCATGTAGTTGTTGGGCTTATATTTGTATAAGTAGAAGGTTTATAGGTGATTTCACACTTTTTCATATTTTCTAAAAGTTTCCTTTTCTTTTATAAACAATAGACATGTAATCAACTGTCCATCTTTCCGTCCAAAAATTATTTTGAAAAGGCAAAGTCAATTGGAGCCAAGTCTGTTAAATAATGTAGGTGTCAAGATGGAAGGCTTTTTCACATAGAGGTCTACCCTGTTTTCCCAAAAATAAGACAGTGTCTCATATTAATTTTTGCTCCCAAAGATGCGCTAGGTCTTATTTTCAGGGGATGTCTTATTTTTCCATGAAGAAGAATACAGTACACATTTATTGTTAAATAAAAATAAAGGAAATTTATTACCTGTATACGGTACTTTAGTATGGTAGTTGTCAACACAAACCAGAAAAACTGTGAATCCTACAGTATCAAGAATTTACTCATTTATTTAATGACAATCATGTCATCATCATCATCATAACAATCCAATTCCTGAATTTCCTGGTGAATTTCTTGTGACTCCATCTCTTTCAGAATCAGTGGACCAAATCTCTCATGTTTAGCAATAGCACTGTCTTTAAATGAGTACTCCTTGTCAAGGTAGCCTGCTCACAGTGCATTTGCAATGCAACTGTCAGTGATTTTCTCCCATGAATTCTTCACCCAAGTCACAACTTCTTGCAGTTTAGGTTTTGTAAGTTTCCACACTGATTTCTCTCCATTCTATTTTCAATGTGGTAATTAATTTCCATGCACAAATTGTCTTTGATTGGCTTGTTTATTGCAATATCAAGAGTCTGGAGATAGGCCGTCATTCCTGCAGGAATCATTATCTGATCTATTTTTCTTTTGTGAAGAAATGTCTTCATGTATTTAGCATGGTGAGTGCTGGCTGCATTCCAGACTAGCAGACCTCTTTGGCCTTGTGTGGCCCAGGCTTTTTCAGTTTCAAGAATAAAAACGCTCAAAACACGTTCAATCTTTTCCTTCTTGCCCTTAGAAATGATTAAAGGTGGGATTTTAGTGCCATCCAGACGAATTGCCAAAATACAGGAAACACGTGCACTTTTGTAAGCAGTGGAGGGAATGTACACTAAGGAAGCACCCTGCTGTTCAATTGTTGTTTGAGATGATTGGCCCATAAATACTGCAGTTTCATCCATAGCAATCATGTTGGAATGATTGTATTTAGAGAAGTCAGCATCATCAATAAAGGACTTGAATGCAAGTGCTCACTTAATAACTTGAGTATCTTCCAACCTAAACAATGTTGTACCAGTAGATGTTCTGAAAGACACTTCACTTCGCTGAAGGAAATTATCCAGCCAGTGTTGTGATGCTTTGAAGTCTTCGGGGGCTATGTCAAACTGTGGTGCCATTGCAAGGGCAAATTCTTGAATCTGAGCCCTATTCACAACCAAAGCCTCTGCTCTCCTATCAACAACCCATTCACAGATCAGGTCTTCCAGCTCGGAAAGTAAGGTTGCCGACCTGATCCACACTTGTGCTTTTTAGCATTTCCCTTGTCCACTTGTTCAATGAGGTTACCATACTCTGCTCGCCATTTTCGGACCAATCGGATACTCAACATCTTCTCTTTGCAGAAAGCAGTAAGATTTTGGCCCCAAGAATCTTCCACGATTCCTTTCTTGTACTCCATGGAGTAGCTTTTTCTTTTTGTGCTCATTTCTAGGAGTAAAAAAAAGGAATTGGGGTATCAAGGTGGGTGGAGGGGGATCACTTAAAATGACACAGGAGAATAAGAGGGGGGATTACCATTTTAGTAACCCCTTTTCATCCTCCTGTGTCATTTTGATTGCCCCCTCTGATCCTCCTGTGTCATTTTAAGTGATCCCCCTCCCCCCACCCCTGTGCCACTGAACACCTTCACCAGACATCCCCCCTACCCCTTTATCAGACATTTACCCCCTGGGGCCTGCCTGGGGACTGTCACTGGGCTTGCTGGGGTCTGGATCTGAGCTGGAGCCTTCAGTCATCATGAGGGCGGCTGCGAGCATCGGGTAGTGTCACCAGAGACAGACCAGCACTCACCACCTTCGCCACATCCCATCTGCTCTAATCCTCCTGTTCTTCTACACCCATCTGGGAAAGTCTCCTCCTCTCTCCCGCCCCATGCTCACCGCTCACTCCGATGTCAGGACTCTGCATAACATCACTGGTTGCTAGACCCCAGTCGGGCAGCTCTAGAGACCAGTTTATAGTAAATTAATTTTCATTCTGAGACAGAGCCTAGGGGGGCCTTATTTTCTGGGGGATGCCTTATATTTCACTCAGAAGGAAACCTATAAGTAGGTCTTATTTTTGGAGGATGTTTTATTTTTGGAGAAACATGGTATCACTGTACTTACCTATTTTCCCACAAACTTTTGGCCCATTTTTCCCCTTCTGCTAGAAATACTCCTTCCAAGATGCCTTTCTCCTCTTAATAATCTCAATCCTCTCTACTGGGCCCTTTGAGGGTTGGCCAGGTCTCTATGGTCCTCTCCCCATCCTTGCAGCCAGATCTGCTTGCTCCTTCCTCAGTGTTCCCACAGTACTGTGGACACAGCTCCAGCACAGTCCACGCTTGCAACCAGTTGTCACCATTTCCTGGGAACTTCCTGTCCTATTCTCTTCCCTTTACAGGTGAATCAAGTTGGAGTTTTGCAGGTTGAGAAGAAGATGAAGGCGGCTGAAAGCGGAACACAAGGGAAAGGCATGCCCACAGCCCTGACCACAGCTGGAAGCAGAACATGCTGGGAAGGGCGCAGGGGTCTCCCAGCTGACAGGCCTATGTCCCAGGTCACGGCTGGGAGCTGATTGCCCTGAGAGGGGCGCGAGTGCCACCTAGCCAATAGGCCTCACCCCTGGCAGCGGCTGAAAGTGGAACATGCTGAGAGGGGCTTAGCTGCCTCCCAGGCCCACAGTCCTGGCTGCTGCTGAAAGCACAAAGCTCTGAGAAGGGCACTGGCACCCCCCAGCTGACAGGCCTACAGCTCTGGCCACAGCTGGGAGCAGATCTCTCCCAGGAAGCATGGCTGCTTTCCAGGCCCACAGCCATGGTTGCAGCTGGAAGCAAAACAGACTGAGAGGGACAAGGTACCTCCCAGCTGACAGGCCTACAACCTGGGTCACTGCTGGAAGCAAATAGTGCTGGAGGGTGTGGCCGCCTCCCAGGCCCATGGCCAACTGGAAGTGGATCGCTTGGAGGGGGGACTGGTCACCTCCCAGGCTTATGGGCTGGGGCTGGAAGCAGATTGCAGGAAGGGAGGGGGGAAGAGCCTCCCACTTAGAAGGCCAGGGCCATGGCTGGGAGCAGATGGAGCCAGGGATCCACAGCCGAGGCTAGTAGCAGATGGCTCCAGCGGGTGTGGCCACCTCCCAAGACTACAGCCTGGGCTGCACTGCCAGCTCTCAGCAGCAGCCCTCCCTGAGACTGGCGGTCTACGGCAGGCCTGAGAGGACTGGGCGCCACCATCTTGTGTCTAAGAGCACTGCCATTTTGTTCCCTAGTGATGCTTAATTTGCATATCACTCTATTATTAGATAGGATTTTTCTAAGTTAGAAGTTGATAAGATCCTTGTTATAGTAATGTAACCCCTCTAATGTATGAAATAATTATTGTGTGAAATGTTTGCTGAATGGAAACCCCCAATACTCTGTAACTTCCAAAATTAATGAACACCCCAATATCTTGATGTAAAAGCTCTATGCCCTTAAAGTGTAAACACCCTGTTCCCAGCAATAATGCTCACTGTCTGGCCCCCACTGATAAGGACACAAGTTGTTTACCACCGTCTTTATAACCTGAAGATCATCTTCAGTTGAGGTATCCTGCCGGATGAGAGGAGGACTCCATGTCGCTCTGAGAGACAAGCTTCTGATTGCTCTGCTGTGTGAGCCTGAACCAATTGTGGCCGCCTGCCTGTCTGTTTTCATCGTCCTTTGGTGCATCACCAGGTGGCCTTTGCTGGAGCCTAGGACCTACTAAGAATAGGTAAATAAACCTTATGTGATTGCATACTGATTCTATCTTGTGTGTCATGTGTTCTGGTTCTGCTCAGCTATCCAGGCATTGAAGTACCAGGGGATAGGCCGTTATTGCTGACTCCAAGTCACCAGTGTTTGTCCCACTAAGTCTAAACAAATATTTAATTGGGACATAATTTGGGACATTGTTATAAAGATTTTGTTCCTACTGAAATGGGAATTTTAGGGGTGAAATAGGCAGGTTCAGGTAATTTTTAAAAATTAAAAGGGATCCATGGAAAAAGCACAGGATATTGAGCTGCAAAAAGTTACATTTCCATAAGACAAGGGAAAGGCAGAAGTTATATTTCATTAAGATAAGGGAACTGGGAGTGGCCCAAGGTATCTATATTTACAAAATAAAGGAGGGCTTCACATATCCAAGGCACAAAAACGGCACCATTTATAAACCAGTAGAAAAAGGAACTGTGGGACTCTTTCCCCCTCCCCTCATGGGAGTCTGTACTTGTTCTTCAATAAATTTCCACTTTTGCTATACCATCTTCCATCCATGGTTTCATTCTTCTACCCCGATGGACAAGAGTCTGGGGAAGCCATTCTGTCCAGGGAAACACACCTTGTTCCACCCCAAAAATCTTGTATCACTACCCAGAGATGCCAGGGAAGAAATCTTACCTTTTCCCAACTTCTCAAGACCACCCATATTTCTTTCTTCCATCTTCAAAATCTGCATAGTTAATCTCCATGACCATAGCCAGGAAAGTTCTCTGATTTTCAAGGACCCAAATGACTACATTGAGGTCTGCCACTGAGCCAAACCATTTTTCGGCTGGATGGGTGTTTCTGATTTTGGGGGATATATTCCTAGAAATGGGATTACAGTGTCCAATGGGAGTTCCATTTTTATTTTTTTGAGGAAACTCCATATTGTTTTCCACAGTGGCTGCATCAGTCTGCATTCAAATAAGCAGTGTACTAGGGTTCCCTTTTTTCTACACCCTTACCAATACTTGTTTACTGATTTGTTGATGACATCCATTCTTTTTTTAAAATAAAAATTATATTTTATTGATTTTTTAAAGACAGGAAGGAAGACTGATAGTTAGAAACATTGATGGGAGAGAAACATCAATCAGCTACTTGCAGGAACATCCCAAGTAGGCACACCTCCTACTTGGGATGTGCCCACAACCACGGTACATGCCCTTGACCGGAATTAAACCTGGGACCCTTGAATTTGAAGGCCAACACTATCCTCTGAGGCAAACCGATTAGGGTGATGAATGCCATTCTGACTGGTGTGAGGTGGCACCTCATTGTAGGTTTTATCTCTTGGTTGATTAGTAATTTTGAGCACTTTTTTTATATATCTCTTGACCTTCTGTATGTCCACTTCCAAAAATTGTCTATATAAGTCCTTTGCCCATTTTTTGATTGTATTGTTTATCTTTCTTTTGTTAAGGTGGATGAGTTCCCTATAAATTTTGGAAATTAAACTCTTATCAGATGTCACATTGGCAAATATGTTCTCCCATGCAGTGGGCTTTCTTGTTATTTTGTTGATGGTTTCTTTTGCTGTTCAGAAGCTTTTTATTTTGATGTAAGCCCATTTTTTTGTTTTCTCCTTAGCTTCCATTGTCCTAGGAGATGTGTCGGTAAACATATTGCATTGAGCTATATCTGATATTTTGCTACCTATGGATTCTTCTAAGATTTTTATGGTTTCCCATCTTATGTTTAAGTCTTTTATCCATTTTGAGTTTATTTTTGTTCATGGTGTAAATTGGTAGTCAAGTTTCTTTTATTTTTTCACATATCTGTCCAATTTTCCCAACATCGTTTATTGGACTCCATTGTATGCTCTTGCCTTCTTTGTCAAATATTAATTAATCATGGCTTGGGTCAATTTCCCAGTTCTCTGTTTGGTTACTTTGGTCTAGATGTCTGTTCTTGTGCCAATAATAGGCAGTTTTAAGAACAATGGCTTTGTAATGTAGCTTGATATCTGGTATTGTGATCCCTTTAACTTCACTAGTTTTTCTCAGTATTGCTGAAGCTATTCAGGGTCTTTTCTTATCCCATAAAAAAATTTGGAGAGTTTGTTCTACGTCAGTGAAATATACCATTAGGATTTTAATGCGGATCACATTGAATCTATAGATTGCTTGGGTAGTATGGACATTTTAATGATACTGATTCTACAAATCCATGAACACACTATATTCTTCCGGTGGTTTATCTTCCTCTATCTCTTTTTCAACATCCTGTAGTTTTCCAATTCTTTTAGGGACTTATTTAAGTTTATTTCTAGGCATCTTAATTTTTTTGTTGCCATGGTAAATGGGATTGCTTTTTAAATTTCTCTTTCTATTAATTTCAAAAATAGTGAGATGAAAATGATGTATTAATTACTACCAGAATGTAGTCAACTATATTTCTGTCCCTCGTACATTTTTCCAAGATAATTAAATATATCAATGACTCTCATATTCTGATTTCTCACAATAACTAGAGGCTTTTAACCCAAAATATTTTTAAGTATTTTATTTTATTTTTAAAATATATTTTATTGATTTTTCACAGAGAGGAAGAGAGAGGGATAGAGAGTTAGAAACATCGATGAGAGAGAGTCATCGATCAGCCGCCTCCTGCACACCCCCTACCGAGAATATGCCCGCAAGCGAGGTACATGCCCTTGATGGAATCGAACCTGGGACCCTTCACTCTGCAGGCCGTCGCTCTATCCACTGAGCCAAACCGGTTTCGGCAACCCAAAATATTTTTTAATCTATATCATCCACTCATACTCAATGCACAATGAAATTCTGCTGTGCCATACTCCAGGCTTTCTTAGTCTTCTTTGCTGAATGTTTTCTGCATTGCTAACATGTAAATTCCAGAATCCCTCAGGAGTCAGTATATCGTTCTTTCATTCAGTTATACTTATATCTTGGCTGATTATTTTTGGTTTTATAGCTTTATTTAAAAGCTTCATATTCTGACAAATGTTAATGCTATATTCCCAGGCCCAAGCACTTCAGAGTTCCAATATATCATCTCTACCAAGATATTTAATAACCTTATTAAATCTACTCCTTTTGAAGTCTTTCCAACTTCAATAAAAGCAACTCTATTTTTTCTGTTGTCCAAATTTCTATCTTCCATGATGATGTTCTCTATTTACAAAGTCAACATAAACTATGACAATTTTACTTTACAAATATATCTAAAACCTGACACCTACTCATAACACCATACCCACAGTTTCCCTAGTCTGAGCCACCATCATCTCCACCTAGATTATTGCTGTATTTTTCAAATGGTCTTTCTCTTTCTACCCTTGCCTTATCTTCTGCTCAGAAACATCCTGTGGCTTTCCATATCACTCAGAATAAACTACAAAGTCTACATTATGAAAACAAGACTCTACACGATCTAGTCCTTTACCTCATCACTTATATCTTCTTAATTCTCTCAATGAAACATTATAGCCTCATTGTGTCCTTCAGACTTATTATGCCGATTACCTTCAATTCGCTCCTCAAGATCTACTCTTTAAGTTTATCCCCTCTATTCTGTGCCCTGAAAAATAAAAAAAATAAAAATGGATTTGGTCAATGTGTGCCTTAGCCCTCTGGCTTGAGCCATAGTGATCACTGCCAAGAAATCAGGAGAAATAGAGGTTCAAGTTTATAACTGCTAGCATGCTATCTGTAGGTTCTCTGCTGTCAGGCTGCATCTCTCATTTAAGGATTCTAATCCTACAAAGCAGTCCTTTCTATACATTCAACTATTTTTCAAGAAGTTATTATTTTCAAGGTGTTTTATTAGTAGTATGAACACAGATCACTATATGCACCTGAAGAAGAGGAAGAGTAATACTTCATGGAAGATAATCAAACTAGAAAAGAACAAGTAAATGCTTTAAAAGGAGTAACATCTGAATTGGTATATTAAAATTATTTTTATAACAGGAGTTTTCATAAGAGACATCACCGTATAAAGAAAACACTAAGAGCAAAGATAGGTTTTCATAAAATAGACAAAAAAGGATTAGACATAAAAATTTAAAAAAAAACACCTAGTAACATTGAGGTACATTAAGGCTAGGATAAGTCATATAAAAATGAAGAGGACCATAAGTGTTATAAGAATGGATAAAAATAACAGATTTTAAAGACATTTCAGAGTTAGAGTTGACAAGACCCAGTTATTGATTTGCTTTGGATGGAGAGAATGCTGACTCTTAAAATTCCAGTTTGGGAGACTGAATGTGTGATGATCGCCTTCATAAGTACAGTGTTGAATCCAGTAAGGAGATCAGGTTTGAAGAGTGGATGATACGTGTAGGTTGGAACATGATTTAGAAAGGAACCTCTGAAAACACCTGGTTAAAAACACAAATCTGGAGCTTTGTAATTCTCAGAACTGGAGATATATGCTTGAGCATAATTGTATAGGTGGAATTATACATGAGGCTAATTCACACAACTGATGAAATCAACCAGGAATCAAGAAAATACCCTACTACTTGGACTAGACATATATTTGAGAGTATGTGTTTGTCCATGCAGATTGTGTTCTGTATCATTCTAGTGACACTGTTTATTTAGACTAGGAAGTGAATAGTACCTATTGTAGTGGTTTAATGTAGCTTCCCTGAGATCGGAGAAAATAGACCATATAGAATATTTCAGGAGATGGAGAAGAGACTGAAGGGCCATGAGGAACATCAAGTATCATAAATAGAGAAAAGAAAAGAATCAAAGCATATACCTGTAAAGGAATTGTCAGAGAGGTAAGAGGAAAACTAGAAGTGTAGAGTTTGTAAACAGGGGGGCAATTTTCAAAGGAGCCATTTTCAATAATATAGAAGTTAAAGAGTTCCTTGTACTTGGAAACTAGGAGATAATTGCTGGTACCAGTAAAATTGAGATGGGAAGCAGATCAGAAATCAAAGAGTTTGGTAGGTTAAATAATGACTTGGAAAAGAGAAAATTGAAATAATGTAAGTAGACTATATCTTCAAGGACATTGGTTTTATATTCTTGCTATTTGGGTATACATTTTATTTTTCATTCTAAATTCTTCAGTCTTTCTATTTAGAGATCACTTCTCTGACTCTCAGATAGGATTCATTTATGATCCATAGAAATTATACATTTTAAATTAATTAATAGACATTAATTTTGGATCTTAAAATATTTACTTGAGTCTACAACTTAATATTTTACTAATTATGTATTTACATGTGTGTCTGTTCCGCTACAGTGGCAATATCTATATCTTTGCTATCTCTAATAGATTTGTGGTAGTTGCTTGAAGAGCTATGTTCAGAAGGATTCTGAGGATTACTATGAGATCCACTTAAAGTGCCAGAAGTACCTAGCACAAAGAAAGAACTGGGGGGGGGGGGGGGGATATTCATTTTGAGAACAAAGACTTTTTCCGTCTGTCATTATAGCCCCAAAACCTTCTGCAGTGTCTGGTATAAGCAATTAATAACTGTTGAGTGACAGAAAAAACAAATAAATGAATATATTCTGAATTATTGTGGACTTTGGATTTGGGCATTGATAAATAAACAGAATTCCATTTGACTAGGTCAGCACTTTTTAACCAAATATTATGACATATTGCTTTGGGTTACAAATAATTTGCTGCTAAAAATAATTTATAAAGCCTTGCCAATTGTTTTATTAAAAGCAATAGATTGAACTTATCATATATAAT